TATATATATATATATACATACATACGTACACACATACATACACACACACACGCTTAATACCTGCTAATGTAATTTTGAATATTGCAAGACATTTATGTAATTTACCTTACAAAGCTGCTTTGTAAATCAGGGTCTCGAGCTTCGACCACGCCCACAAGCGTACCAAGAGGAAGGTTTTCTTGAACACTTAAGATATATGGGTCCTGGGAGAAATACGGTGGCTCATTCACATCTCCAACTGTTACTCTCACTGTTGTGACATCCTTAAAAGGACCACGGCGAATATATTGAGGATCAATGACAGTGTTCATTACTTCCACACGGAATGTGAAGGACCGGCGAGACTCAAAATCTAGAGGCTAGAAAAATGAAAGATGAGAAAAGGCAGGAAGAAAGGAAGAAAAAGAGGAACAGATTAGGGTTGAACTGTGCAGAAAGCACATCTTTATGGTATCAATTAGTCACTTTTGCACTGTAGATCAAGGTTTTAGTTTTAACTACCACCATGGTGAATCATGTGCTTGCAATGCAAAGGGAAATGTGTTGATCAGATCAAACTGGGTGGAGGTGGAAAGGATTGCATTTTCATTCTACTTAAAATGGACATTTTAATACTGATATTTAAACATTATCAAGGAAAAACTGCACCTTTGGGGTGTCAGTCTTACCTTTTGTACTCTGAGAATGCCATCCTGGCCCACATCATCTACCATTACACTAAATGTGTCCCCAGCATCACCATCCAAAATACTATATGACATTTCTGCATTTTCACCAATGTCTGGGTCATGTGCTCTCAGTCGGCCAATCAGAGAGCCAGGAACAGTGTCCTCTAACACAGTGAACTGGTATTGGCCTGTAAAAGATAAAAGAGTTAATACTATGATGCCCCTGTTCACCATTCTTGTTGCTAATAATTGTCTAATAATCTTATAAGCCAGTGTATTTCAAAGCATTTCAAACAAATGTGGGACTTCAGTAAGGAAGTTGGCTTTTTCAAAATGATGATATCTGGCACCTCAATTAGCACCCAACATATTCAGGATGTTTTTGACACATTTATGAAAATTGAGTATGGTTATGTATTTATTTTTCACAACTATTTACTTATTGCTTGAAATGAAACATCATGTAAGCCAATCCACATTTGTGTGTGGCTGAATTTCTCTAAAGCCACTAGTGGCAGACATACCATTTGTGCAGATTGTGCATCTCCACAAGGGCCCTGTGGGGACTTAGGGGCCCATTTATACTAGATATGGTTTTGATTGGTGTTGGGAGATCACCCACTGTCAAACAGACTTGGAAAAGCTCTCCTTTATACCTGTCAGTGAATAAGTCTTTATATTTGGCCAGTAGTTGATCTAGCACAGGAGTCCTTTGGTGACTGCCACTAAAGGCCATTGTTATCAGAATTGCCAGATGGCCAGTCCAGGTCGACAGATGTTATATGTCTTAATTGTATAATTTTCACTTGTATATGCATATTTATAAGTGGATTTGGGATACATTTCCGTGGCTTATTTGCTATAGCAAGGTTTTTTGGGCTGGAATTTACAGCAGAAATCACAAGCACAGCAGCTAAGCTAAAGACAGAGAGGGGAATTGATCAACCCTGTAGCAGACAAAAACTGTAGCAGTTAAGTATGACAGCCTCTCTCTTTCATTTTCAAAGCTTAACTGAACACACTGAAGAGAGATGCTGATTGGTTACTATCTGCAGATTCTGTCTGCACCAGTTTTGATAAATTCCCCAGAGTGTTTTCATTTATTTTCATGGCATAATCAAAGCTACTTCATCCACTGGCTAAGTAAGCCTAGTCACGATGCAAACAAGATACATTTAATGAAAAAAATCCTGTCTTTAAGAGGTTTTGTATTACATATGTAGTTCCACAGTTGGGAGCTATAGGTAAAAACATTTTTTGAAGTAAGCTGCGAGTACGATCACAATTTATGTGGTTCCAGCTTCCAGTGTTGCTCAGGGACTGAAAAAAATGTATACTGGCCAGTAGGAGTAAAACGCCTTTGTTAATGTTTCATAAAATCCCACATTCATAATTCGCATAATTTTTAATGATGTTCAGAACAATACATGATGGCATGAAAGCTAAATAGCTCTTATCCTTACTTTGAGGGAATTTGGGTGGATTGTCATTGACATCTGTCAAGGTGACTGTAACTGTGGTGGAGCCTGAGAGACCTCCTATATGGCCTCCCATATCCTTAGCCTGGATGACAACAAGGAATTCATCTTGGGTCTCACGGTCCATGTTTGGGATAGCAGTGCGGATCACACCTGGAGTGAAAGGCGTGATTTAACAGATATTAAAAATTCTGAAAAAGGAAAAGGATGCATTTAACACTTTTAGGAAATACTTTTGTCAAGTTTTTATTTAATTACATGACCCTTTTGGGAGATTTCACCTTACTTTCTGTCCCTGTGCCAACAGAAGAAATGAGGGGAGCAGTTGTCACTGACCCAGGAAGGCACAGACAGTGATAATAACCTGACAGAGGTCCCAACCTCTCCCGATAGAAAGCAATGCACACTGCAGTAATATCATGACAGGGCTTCTATCCCTTCTCCAGTCTGTCCAAAAACGTTTTCTTAATTTTGCCTGGAGTAGGCTTTGGAGTAAAAAGGAAAAAACAAAGGTAGCCAGCAATAGCATAACGAACAAAGCAGCAGACATTGCACGGATTTGTATTTTTTTTTTTTTTTAACAGGAAAACATGTCCAGTGAAAATCCTTTAATAAAAATTGGTATAATATGGTAACATACCATTTACCTAACATTCATCCATTTTTGTACAAGGTTTTCCACATTGCCTTCTTTAATCACAGTGATTTTTGTTAGGCTCCAAACAAGATTTGCCTTTTGAAAATAGCATCAAACAAGATTCACCCATGTAAAAATTACATCAAACAAGATTTGCCCAACATCTGTTCTTCAATGGGAAAGTGCTTTAGTGTACTATTCATCTTGTTTATCACTATAATTTACCCAACTTTCACCCATTTTTCTTTGGAGCTGTGGATTTTTTGGCGTTCTAAACCTATGTTTTTAATAAAGGGTTAATAAAGGGTCCAGCACTTTCTTGTATTTAATCTTTTTTTCTGTAATAAATGAAATGGAAAAAAAAAGTGTGCCCCCCTCCCTGAATAAACAAGCCTGGTGGGCCAGGCATGTAGGCCAGTATCCCCATTGTAATAGAGCAGTGAGCATTCAGCCCCCCTGCTATGCTGATACCAATCCCCACATGCTCTTCAGCATTGGGTGGTGCTTTGAGGGGGTTCCAAAAACTGAGCGTGCACCGGGGCTCCAGTAGGTGCTGGCAAAGGGGGGGTCATGTACCACCTACCTTTCCTCCCATGGGCCAAGTAAGTTGTCACCCCCTCCCTAGTTAACGTGTTTTAGGGGTCTAATGGTGTGTGCGAGTAAGTGAAAGTTGTACAAAAAAAACCATGTAATACAAATAAACTTTATTATTAGTTATATATAGAATAATAATCTTTCCAGGGTCAAGCGATATCCAAAGCTGTCGTGCATTGTCCACTCAAGCAATTGCAGATCAGAGTTTTAGGGAAGCACAGTGTTTAAGCAATGAAGAAGTTCCCACTATTGAGATGGTTTTACGTGTCTGGGGAACTTAAAATAAATATGGGTAGTGAGCTCCCTGATATGTAATTGCCCATATTTAGATATAGGGTATATATGGGCAGTGATGTGAGCATAACACTGTCCAGCAGGGAGCCAAATGCTCGCTGTTTCCTACTATGAAGATACATTGCCTGGTAAGCCAGGCTTATTCCTTTGGGAAGGGAGGGATACGCTTTTTAACTTTTTTTGATGAGAAAAAATGACATTAATCCTCATAGTGCTGAAACTGTGTATAAACTCACTTTCAGCAGCATGGAAAGCATGTCAGCAAATGCATAAAGGATATTTCTGTTACTAAATGTACACTATATAACAATATTTGCCTAAATATTCACAGAAAGGTAAACAAAGCTGCTAGAGCAAGCTATTTCATTTAAGAAATACTTAAACGCCATAAAAGTCAAGAGTAAATGCCTGGCAAGAATAATAAATGAGGCATTTGGTAATTATTTTATGCCAGTGTATCCAGGGTGCCACACCACCTCCTCCTCACTTTCTGAAATGCATTTGAACATCTTTTGTTTTTGAATTTCATCTCATTAAGCAGTATGTTATTAATTAGACTTTTCCATAGCTTAAGAGAACTGGCTATCAGATCCATATGATGTAATGATATGGACATCTTCACTGTGAATGCGTCCCTCTTAAAAGTACCCAAGTGTAATGTTGCCAAGGATGCAAAGACAAAAGCAAGAGCAAGGTTGTAAGATTTAAAAGTAGAAACTTGAATACCACTCTCTAATTTATAGTCTAAAAAAAGTAATACTGGCGAATAAGAACATTACTGTAATAGTAAAGAGTTTTCCATCTGAAATATTGTTTATTGGTGGACCAACACATTGATGAATCACTAATTCTGAGTAATAATTTTATATTAGTCATACAAGCACATTGACTGACAGTTACCTGTTTGTGGATCCACAGAGAAGTATGGCTGCCCTTCCAGCACAGTGTATACAAGTCTGGCGCTGTTACCATAAGTTGGGTCATCAGCATCGTTGGCTGTCACTTGGATCACAGAGGTCCCTGTGAGATTCAGTTTGATTATTTTTCATCAGCAATTATCCATTGCTTATATATAACATGCAGCTAGTGGTATTCAAATCTCAGTACACTTTCCCCAGCATCTATATATCATGCATTGCCACTTCTCCATAGTAACTGGGTTTGATTTTAAAACTTGTCTACTTTAGTAAAGTTTAAGGTATTATTTTTGGTGCTGATTATACAGTAAAAGCAGACATTTTCAGGGTGCTGACTAGCTTCCCCATTAAAGACAGCAAAGCCTGTGTTTACCAGAAATATGCAAACTTAAGATGCCATGGGCCACACGTAAACGTGTTCAGTCCACCTTTTCACTATGATTGGTATTCATAGCTTTTGTTTAGTGAATCCCTACTGGCATTCTAAGCAGTGTGCGTGAGGGAAAAGAAGGCAAAGTGACAAAAAGAAAGAAATAGGGAAAAAGTCAACAGAATCTTAGCCAGATACAGTTTTGGCCATCAAAGGATTAAATATTAAAATATATCTAAAGCCAAGGAAACAAATTCGTCCCAATTAAACAGTTGACACTGGAACAAGTGTCACCATTGGAAGCTTTGCCCTCTTTTTCTGTTTTGATGACAACTAAATATTTGTTCTCAACTACTGTTCTGTGAGATCGGTAACCAGGAAAAATACAGAGAACAAATTCAGCATGGACACAGGCACTATGAATAATCTGTTAGGATTTATTGCAATTATGCACAAGTTACTGCACGGCACAGTAACACATGTTACATATGTTGATGTGGTGCTATTCAACTAAAAGGTAACCCAACGCACCCTGTCAAAGGACATGAGTTGCGGTGTGCTGCACTGCCAAAAATAAACCATTTTTTGGCAGTGCATCACAACAAATAAGTACATTGCCACAGATTGCACTGCAACACTTGTCTGTTGCCAAGGTGTATTAGGGTGCCATTCAGAATGAATCACACCTCATGGCACCAACGTACTTAACATACATTGACATGCATTACTGGGACACCATATTGTAAGCTTCTTAGAGGTTCTCACTCCTTACTGAATAGTTTTGGCTTTAGAAATACTTTAAGGCAGAACAGACCTACTTTGCTGTAATCACAAAATAGAATGCTGATATGTCTGTGGATTTGAGCATCCACAACAATGAAAAGGTTTATACAATTGCTGCAACAGCCACTGTGTGCAGTTATAATTTATCCACTTCCATAATCTCACGAGTGATTTGGAAATCACTCATGAGATTCATTAACATTCACATCTTGGACATAGAAGTTACAAAAACCCTGCATACCTTTGTGTTACTATATCAAGGCACCTTAGAAGAGATCCCTTTCTCAGCTTGTCTGGAAATGATGCAAGCACAAATGTGTTTTGTCCTCTTTTGGTTTAATTATCTCTTCCTGGCCTCAGTGGACTGTAGATGTCAACAGATCTGTTCTATCTGTGATGTAAAATTAACAGTTTTGCACTAGGCGTTGTGTGAATTCATTGCCCCCTTTCTCTAGCAAACTATCACTTTCATAGAATGACTAATTATCACTGGCACGTCTGCTATTTGAATACATAAATATCTGGCATCTAATATCTCCATTGCTTAATCCATGTCTAAACACAAAGACCTCAGGTCCCCCCTCACCTACGTTGGACATCTCCGGCACTGAGGCCCGGTAGGGAGGGTGCAGGAAAACAGGGGGGTTGTCATTAATGTCTTGCACCTTGATGATGAACTGAGAAGGGGGCTCAAGTGGTCTGAGGGAATTCTTGTCCAGAGCCTGTGCCAGAAGAACATATTCTTCCTTTTCTTCCCGATCCAAGGACTTTGTAACATGGATATTGCCAGTTTTCTCATCAATAACAAACACAGAACCAGCTCCTTCTCCAGTCAGGATATATTTGGCTCGTCCTTCCCCTCGATCTGCATCTGTGTGCAGCTGTGAAGCCATAATACAAGTTACATAAAGCTATTATCAGAATTATAACCTCAGCAAGAACAGTTTAATCATATAGTAATGTATTAATCCATATCAATCAATTGTAATCCAGTTTTCTGTAGCCTAAAGCAGAGTAAAAATAGTACCCCTTGCTATCCTGTCCACACTGCTTCTTCAAGAGTCAGAAAAGGTAGCAGACAACATCAAATACCTTGGGAGCATAAGCAGCTGCTCTGAGATGCCATGGTACTTGGTCACATGACCAATGGCATCTGTTATATGATCTTTGCTGATGGGGAACATAAGCTAATCAACATCTCTGCCTGAATGTTGATCCTCTTCTACAGGCATAAGCTCTTTAGATATATATCTATATAT